TCGGTAACACATTTAAAATTTGATAAAATCTTTGTAGCAAAGGTAGTAATTTTTTACTGTAAAATCAGATTATCTTATATAAAGTAAATTTTCTATAGTTTTTTATTTTTCAAAAAAGAGAGAATAAAAAAATTGTGACTAAAATTAATCGGACTAATTAACATGATTTTCAGTATCAAGATGAGAACGTGTAAATTATTTAATTGTTTTAATGTGACTGGTATACATTTATTTGACTTAAATTATATTTAAAAGTAATCGAAAAATATTGCTTGTTATTTTCTTTATTTTGAAATTTAGATACTTTATTTACTAGAAACTTATACAGCTGTCTAAATATGACAAAAGAACTTATTTTCAGTTTAGTCTTTAGAATTTAAATAGAGGGGTGTGTCAATAGCCAAAAAACACTTTATATGTAAATTACATGTAAAACTATCTTATAACATTCTCGTGTAGATGATGTGTTGAGCGTTAAATTCCGTAGAACGTCAAGGTTTTCTTAAAGCACCGGACGAAGCTCGTAAAATTGTGCTAAAGATAATCTCGGCATAGATCCGGATTTAATGGATAATGTAATGTATATTCATGTCAGGCTGTGTGAGTAGGAAAAATCTGATTTGTTGGCAAAACCGACGGTATGTCTCGTTACCTTCTAGTTTTTCGTGTGTCAGAGCTGCTTTAGAGTGTTTGCCTTGCGTGTCTGCAGGACCAGGACAGGTCACTCCTTCAAACTTTAACGAGAATGATCAACAGGTGCCTCGAGGGTTCGTCTAGTTGCACACTGCTAGTGATCCTTTTTTAATCTACACCGTCCGAATAGAGTCTGCCGATACGAATTAACTTCGATCAAGGCTTATGTGGATCTGGGTTAAAAAAAGAAGAAAGTGTGGTATCAAAAACCGCGAGACTTTTCCAAATGAAAGCGTGTGCGGAATTAGTTTTGTGAAACTTTTCGGTATCATTGGGATTACGCGGCTCATATATTGATGCCGCTTATACTTAACTATATTTTCAATTTTCTATCTGCGAAATCTATTTTGGTTAAAAACATGGATATTATCTTGCGCGTACGTGGAGCACAAATTATTGAATTAATTACTACCGAAACTATATTGAATTAATATTTTACATAACTATAATACTATTTTCCTAGAATATATTTATATATTACATTTGATTTAAATGAATTTTGGATGCATTGTATGATTTTAGCGACTATAAATTGGAAAGCAACATTAATAATAATTATACAAGGGTTTATTAATAAAATAATATGCATTATGCATATTTCTCTCGCACGTGAATAGGAATAGAATCTTGTGAAAATATTTTTATAATTTCCTCTCTGATTGCTATAATTTAACGTACTCTCTTTTTTCGAGAAGTACGTTCTAAAATAAATCAACTTTTATAAACTGTGTAAAAGCTAAACTAAATAGGTCAACGTTTTGAGGTGGCAATAAGAACGGCTATAAAAAAATAGCGGTCACATTTAAATAAATTATGGAGTTCCCAAAATTGTCTTCTTATCGTTTCGTATATTGCTTCGATGTGTATGTCGTGAAATTTATTCCCTCGGGACGAGAATCGCGTGCACTGTCACCTTGCAAGATGCGATTCTCAAGTGGCAGCCGGCCGCATAATTCATGCACGCAATGTCATTCATCCGCGTTATTTTTAGAGCAATAATCTTACGCACACATTTTACATATGCGTGTGAATCCGATTTTGCACATTGTAATGCAAAAGTTTCTAGCAGTTTGCGAGAGCGATTCTGGAATCGTACAGGAAATTTATAGTGTCATATGGCAAAGAGAAGATTTTTAATTTATATTTCATCTGTGGTGGTGCTGCGAATTTATCATGGACGGTTGTTCATTAGGAATTCTTTTAATAATGTTTTTCATTTCGCATATATGATGTAACATACATTATATAAATAAAGCTGTCATTTTATTTCATGGACGTATCTTTCATATTAATCAGAAAGAAAGTTATTCTGCAGTTAATCTATTGAATTAAAAATGAGCAATACGATTATACAAATACTTGCATTTTGTCAACACTCTTTTTATTTAGAAAATAAGAGAGAGAAAAATGAACACCATTAAATAAATTTAAAGCGAAGAAAGGCGAAAAAAATTTAACCCATCCAATGTTAGGAAAATTAAGTACTACATAGTAGCGAGTATCATGAATATCTAAGTTTGATATTAACTTTCTTATGCATTAAATCACATACTACAAACTTTACTTATTGCGATAGCAAGTCTATTGCAAGTCTATCTTTTGTCTTGTTTCTTCATGCATAATTATTTTGAAATTTATGCGTGACTAAAATTAAAGCGATTAATTTGGATGCATAAAATGCGTTTATTCGATGGTTTCCGAGAGGTAAAATGTTGTTGCGAACTCACGTGAAGCGGATAACGGTCGCCGTAAATGAGACTTAACAACGTTCGAAAAGAGAAAAGTACGAACCTTTAAAGGGTCTATTTAGGATCCTGAGGGCGCCGGCCGAGCGTCGTTATTCAGTCTGCTGTAAGTAGGGCACAGTCTCTTTCCGAGATCTCGACGAGTCGTATCACAGTGCCTTATTCAATCTGCTCTCTATCAGCCAATCTCCCGCCAATGGAATCTATCGAGCGTGAATTCGCGTCGCAGCGTGAATGAAAGTCGCGTTCGATACGACGTGACAACTGGACGAATTTCGCGATCGTGCATTTTATAGATACACTATCACAGAAAATGTCAAATCTTTAGCACAGATATACCCATTGACAAATGTATAAAGTCATATTTCTCTTTGCATAAATTTATTAAAAATATATCAAAATATTAATAAATGTTTACATACCTATCACATATTCAATTTGATTTTACATACCTATTATAGCAAATGTGACGTATATTCTATAACGTTTCTTTTTTTTTGTCATACTCTGTAATTCGGATCTCTATCGATATCTATCTATCTCGCGAAATAACGAGGGCGTGATAAATTTTTCAGAGAGAGATTATCGAGAGAAAATCGCTCGTGCATGCAGC